TCATAAGAATCGTCAAAATGCGGGCAACAGCAAGTGGGGAAAGGGCTTTTTCTCTCTTCACTCTGTGCTTATTGTGCAAGAAAGAACAGATACAGGAAAATGTGAAAATCTGAATGTAGTACTTGGTGTGCCACATTTAGGTCATTTTTCACAGATTACTTTATTACTCTTCACTGTGATAGTCTCCAAAATATACTTTTGTTTCTGTTCCTTCATAAAAGGAGGCTTTGTAAAGTGGCAACAACTTAGTGCACCACAGCTTCCCCTCAGAGCTGCAAAGTTGCCACTGGTACTGCTGACAGATAACTTCATCAATGACAAAAAGGTTAGATAGAAAAGTATCTAAAGGGTGGGTTCCGTTCAGATCTGTCAGGAGCTTACTAGCTTTTGTTGAGGTTTTTTTGTTTGTATACTTGTTTTTTTCTTTTTTAAAAAGTTGTGAAATATAATACACTAAGAAGTATGAGGTGGCATTACAGACACCAGGAATAGGATTCAAATTGTCTCAGATAAATAAGAGAAATAGTCCTGCATAAACAAGTCAAAATGTCATAAAAATAAGGACAATGAGTTTTAGAATTACTATGGAAAAATAAATAAATGTGAATTATATGCTCCTCTCTCTTAAAAAGAAAAAAAAAAAAGGCAAATAATCTGCCATGTACTACCAGACAAAAACAACCTAGAATAAAGGAGGTGCATAGAGGTGTATGTTTGTGTATTTACAGAGTTGCGTATTTTTTTAATTCAACTTGGTGAGAACTCTGAGAATCCTCAGTACAGGAAGTTTGACAGATGCAGACAAACAGGCAGATGTGCACAGAGAAGTGACAAGCCTGATAAGGGCTGATAAAAATGATGTATGAAGAAAGACTGAATGAGTTAGGCTTCTTTATCTACAAGAGAAAAAAGTAAGGGCAAAATGTTGATAATTTAAAATGCATATTTTTAACACAGTATTATTAATGAGAATATTCTTCCAATGTCAATGTTTTCTATCTTTGTTTTGTGAAAGCACTTGATTGTGACTTTCTCTATCGCATATATTAATTTATCAAGAGACTGATGAATAGTTGGCTCTCCATGTCCAACAAAGGACAAGAGAAAATCAATGCAACACACTGTGGGAGGAAAAAAAAAAACACAACAACACCACCAAAAAAAAAAACCAAAACACCAAAAAAAAAAACTTGGCTAATATTTAGAAGAACTTTATTACTCTTCAGGTAGTGAACTGCTAGAACAGGCTACCAAAAAAACTCCATCCCTGCATAATCTCCTTCACTAAAAGTTTTGATGAAGTTGGATAAACACCTATGAGGGATGGTTCAGATTTACTTCACCTTGCCTCAGTGTAAGTGGTTTGACTACAGATCCAGCCCTCTGTTTCAACAGAAAAAGAAGGAAGAAACCAGTTCAAAGGGTTCCATTAGTTTTACTTTTAGTTTTACACATAGCCTGTCTGCTCCTGGGATTTTTTCTTCATTGGTGATGATCACATTGTTGGTACTGATTAAAGAGTACTTGTCTTTATAATAGAAAAGACCAGTAATCACAGAAACAGAACTGTATGCAGAAAATGAAGTGGTCTCTGTCCAGAGTCTGCAAAGGTAGAACAGACACATAAAGTGATAAAGGGGAAAACCACATTTTCACCAGTTTCTCTCCCCATCTTTATCTCTTCTTTTGCTCCTGCAACATTATGCCCAACATTTCTAAGCAAATTTCCACCTATATTTGAGGCTCTTTCCCCCTAGTCTTTCTTATCTAGGACTTCAGTGTTGTTTGCATGAATTCTACCTAAATTGGTTACAATGCAGGGAGAAAAGGCTTCCTATGAACATGACCTCTCCTTGTTTAAAATCTTACCCAACCCATCTTCATAAAGCAGCTGATTAAGACTGGGAGATGTATGGCAGTCTGTCCCACATGTTTTCAAAATAATCTCACAAAACCAGCATGGCTCCAAAATCCCTGTGAATGTATGCTATCACCATTTTTGTCTTCTGCTGTGCTTAAGAAGGTCAGAAAATGAATGCCAAATTGCTGCAATAATTACACCTATAACACTGTTTTTAAAAAGTGATATATGGCAAGATATTACACATTTAAGACTATGGCACTTAGTCTTAAACTTTTACGAAGACATTAAAACTATATGTAGAGTTAAAAGTACCCACTTGTTTTGGCTCTACTGGACATTAGCAAAATTAGTATAAATTTACAAACAGTTACATGGTTCTTGAAATGTTCTTTTTCATATACTGCTCATTCTTTGACATAATCGAAAAAGTACAATATCCACTACTTACTTTTTACCAGAGAAGGTGAAGTACCATCACTAGTAAATGCTTTCCTTTGTAAGTTGACAATGGTCTTGCTAACTGTGGATACATCATTGAAGTTCACAGTTGCCACTAAATACTTACAGATCACTGTTCATAACTGGATGAAATCTTATGGTGATTTGTTGGAGAAGGAACTTCTCAAACAAAGCCCAGAAAGCCATCTCAAAATATGTCCCCTTCTGTCAATTTATTATGTTGAGAGGCAACTTTGTTGCAAGGTGGTGGCTCTTTCTTCTTGGTTGTTTCTTTTTTTTTTAATGGTTGGGGGAGTGGGTGGCTTTCTTGTCATGCAGCAAGTCAGCTGCTTTTATGAACTGAATGTTTATTTCCTACTGGATGGTACTGGATGCCAACTTGCAACCTTTATTGTAAACATATGGCTTTTTCAGGGTTGTGAGGTTGCTTGTAAAAATTTGACTGGAACCAACAATACATAGCAGCAAACTGGGGGGGGGGGGGGGGGGGGGGGGGTATAAGATGGAAGGTAAATATGCGCTACAGCTAATTTTTCTTGAAAGAATAGCATGATGTCAACCCTTGTAATATTATATTTGCAAATAAGAAAATTCACTGTAAATTCACCATGCAACATTTACATAGATAAGTGAAAGGAAGTCTTAACAAAAAGCTGAATGCATGCTCTCTGCCTAAGCCACACAGTACTAATTCAAAATTATAAGTATGTACAAGCCCAAATTAAACAAACAGTTATTTATACATGTGCTTATGTTATATCCCCTTGGGTGGCCCAGCTTCCGCCTGTGAAACTATTCATGCTAACAGAGTTAAGCATGTGTACTCACAGGAAGAAAGTCTGAGGTCTGATATGTAATCCTATTATGTAATATCTGATAAAATTGTTTTTACATCAGTATCAAGCTTAGAAACAAGGAACAGACATTACAGGGCCAGATCTGAGTTCAATGTCCCTTCACAATTGACAAGTGCTACATTCTTGAGACAAAATTTATGAATGCTATAATGGGAGATATGAGATTTTTGCTCACAGTAGCCTTGTATCTCATTAAATCCTTGAATCTGAAGGCTTTCCAATTCAGCAATTTCTGTAATCTACAGTGAGGTGGGTTTTGTTTATTTGTGGGTTTTGATTTTTGATTGTGTTTTGTTTTGTTTTTTTTTTTTTGTTGGGGTTTCTTTCAGGGTGGTGGTTCATTTTTCAGAAAAAAAAAAAAACAGAAATAACTAGAAAAAATCAGAAACTTCCTTTTAACAATTCTAAATTTGCCACTTTCTCATCTCTGAGAGGATGTCCTCTTGCTTTTCGGTTATCATACTAAGTGTGTAGACATTCCAAACTTACTGTATCTGTTCTGGTTGCCTTGATACAGTCAGTCATCACGGCATGTTAGTTTGCCTACTTTCTCAATTTATTTTGTTGTTTTGAATCATTCTTTATTTTTTTTTCCATTCTCCATTATCTTCCTCATTTTTCCTGAATTTACAACATTCATTCTGAAATGGTGCTTTCAGTGTCATACACAGCTTCAAAATAAGCTGCACTACTTGCACAATGATGTTACATTTATTATTATTCCTAGGTTGTTAAATTTGTCCAGGCTGTAAATTGAGCTGCGTAGTTACTGGTCACGTCTCTTTTTCATGCAAGTACCACTGAACTAATCTGTGTGGTTTTTCAAGGCATGCTACTTACATCTGTCATCACCAAACTTTGTTTGAAATGTGCCTATCTACTCCTGAAGCTTCTCAAACTGTCTTATTCTAAGTAACCAGTAGACACAAGAAGCAGGTGAAGTTTCAGTACAGGCTAAAGTGTAACTCAGAAGTTTAACCGGAAACCTTTAAGCCGAAGTTCAGTTCAAAAGTAATGTCAAAGTAATAGCTCAGGCGGTGGCTTTGCTCTCCTCGCTGGAACGCACCAGCCGCTGTCCGGTACCACCCGGCCCTGCCGGGCTCTGAGGCACCGCGGCTGCACTGCCGCGCCCTTTTACCCGTCCCGTCGTTCCCGGTCTGTAGCCATCACCTTCCACAACTACTTAGTTTTGGGGATGTTCCTCTCTTCTCCAACGTAAGGGGACGTGTAAGGAACCTCTGTAAGTCTGAATCGCGGACGGACCACTGCAGGCTCCGACACACCCCCTACCCCCGCCGCCTTCAAGAGAGGCCACACCAAGGCACAGCCCGCCCACAACACACGGGAGCATCCGGACGGCTTCTAGTCCCGGCCGCACAAAGTTTCTCGCGGAGCTCTCCGAGCCTGCGACACCCCCGACTTGCGGCATCCCCCACTTCAGCACCCCACACGCGCCTCAGACACCACTCCTACTCACAGGCACGCGGGAAACACCCGTGCGCATGCGTGCCAGCGCAAATAGTAAGCGGCTGGGCCCGTACGCGGCCAGCCGGAGCTGATGAGGACTGACTGTGCGCATGCGCCGTGGGACGGCGGAGTGCTGCGCACGCTCGCCGGGAGGCCGGCTGTTCGTGTTCCGAGGGGCCGCCGCACTTCAGGCTCGGCCTAGGCTTTGCCGCGGGTGTGTGGCAGGCCGGTGTACCTCACGGGTTGAGGGAGGCCGCCCGCCAGCCAGCCAGCCAGCCAGCCAGCCAGCCAGCCAGCCAGCCAGCCAGCCAGCCAGCTAGCGGGAGTGTGCGGATTCCGCCGGGTCCCGCCGTCAGGCCTCCCGGGACAGGACCGCTGGCCGCTGCCGCTGAGGGAAAGTTGTGGGGACCTGTCGGCGCAAGGGACCGCCAGGATGAAGCTGGTGAGGAAGGACCTGGAAAAGGACAATGCGGGGCAGGTGACGCTGATCCCCGAGGAGCCCGAGGACATGTGGCACACCTACAATCTGCTGCAGGTGGGTGACAGCCTGCGGGCCTCCACCATTCGGAAAGTGCAGACCGAGTCATCCACGGGCAGCGTGGGCAGCAACCGCATCCGCACCACCCTTACCCTCTGTGTGGAGGCCATCGACTTTGACTCGCAGGCTTGCCAGCTGCGGGTCAAGGGCACTAACATCCAAGAGAATGAGTATGTCAAGATGGGGGCCTACCACACCATCGAGCTGGAGCCCAACCGGCAGTTCACTTTGGCAAAGAAGCAGTGGGACAGTGTGGTGCTGGAGCGCATCGAGCAGGCCTGCGATCCAGCGTGGAGCGCTGATGTGGCAGCTGTGGTCATGCAGGAGGGGTTGGCTAACGTCTGCCTGGTCACTCCAAGCATGACGCTTACCCGTGCCAAGGTGGAGGTGAACATCCCTCGCAAGCGGAAAGGGAACTGCAGTCAGCACGACCGAGCCCTGGAGAGGTTTTACGAGCAGGTGATGCAAGCCATCCAGCGGCATATCAACTTTGAGGTGGTGAAGTGTGTACTGGTGGCTAGCCCAGGCTTCGTGCGGGAGCAGTTTTGTGACTACATGTTTCAGCAGGCAGTCAAGACTGACAACAAGCTTCTGCTGGAGAACAGATCCAAGTTCTTACAGGTAAGGAGCTAAACAGTCTTCAGAGTGGGTAGAAAGGCTTAAGAGCTGCCTTTGATAATAGAAGATCATTACAAGGGTGATGGGAAATAATAAACTTGAGAAAATAAATTCATGTCTGAGCATCATAAGAAAATTATTGAAATTATTCTCATGCCTCCCAAACTGTAAGGTAGTTATGCAAGATACAGGGATGGTTCTAGGATACCTTAGGATATCTTAATATGAAGTAGAGAAAGTATTAAATATTTCATGCACTGTATAAAGACATATTTCATTTTCAACTAAGAGTGAAATAAAAGTTGGGAAACAATTTAACTGTAGTGTTAAACTGACATACTGTATATCATACATATTTTTTGCTTTTTGACAAAGCAAAATGACAGCTTTTTTAAAAACCTTTTTCTTTAAAAAACCTTTTTTTTACCACTTACACAGTTGTGGTATAGTTTAGTAGTTCTGTTGTTATTTTTGTACTGCATGGTTAAATATTCTGCAGACCATAGCATTTCTTCCTCTTCCTTAGTCATATCATTGGTTGAGTGGGGTTTTTTGCCTGTCATTGGAATAGGCAAACTTGGAGCCTAAAATAAGTTTTCCTTTTCATAAGGATACTAGAATAGTTTTTTGAGTTGGCTTGTAATTTACACTTGCGAAAGGCTGGCAGGGGAGAGTAGAGTGAGCTGTGTCCCAGTGCGCAATGGTCACAGTTATGTAGAAGACACATTGCACCAAGAAGCCTCCTTTTGCATTTATAGCAAAGTGATAATAGTAAGTGTGAAAAGTTTTAATGTACTTCACAGCTTAGCAAGCATAGTAGCTATGCAGTTTTTCAAAACTTGATGCTTCTGTACTTATGTCAGTAGTGTTTAGAGGTCTTCTGCTTCTTGAATGTTTTAAAAAGAAGGTCTGTAAACCTTAATTCATAGTAGTTTCAAGTAGCTTGGGGACTATCTGCAATAGCTTGCATATTTAACCCAGGCTTTGAATAAGAGGAGCAGCTTCCCTGCACTTCTTAAAATATATTTTAAGGGATTAGACACATGTTTTGGGTTGCAGGAAAGATCCTTTAAGAAAAGAATCAGGTAGGTTTCAAGAAAGAGATATAGTGGAAGTTGTTTATGATTGGCTAATAAAAATGTCCTTTATATTAAAAAAAAAACAAACCAAATAAAACCAAACAACCAAACCTTTGACTTTTTTTTACCTTAGGTCCATTCTTCTTCAGGACACAAATACGCACTGAAGGAAGCCCTCTGCGACCCAGCTGTAACTAGCCGTCTGTCTGACACTAAGGCAGCTGGTGAGGTCAAAGCCTTAGATGACTTCTATAAAATGCTGCAGCATGAGCCTGACCGGGCTTTTTATGGTGTAAAACAAGTGGAGAAGGCCAATGAAGCTATGGCCATCGATACCTTGCTGATCAGTGATGAGCTTTTTCGGCACCAGGATGTGGCTACACGTGCTCGATATGTTAAGTTGGTAGACAGCGTACGGGAAAACATGGGCACAGTACGCATTTTCTCCAGCCTTCATGTGTCTGGAGAGCAGCTTGGCCAGCTGACAGGGGTGGCAGCCATTCTGCGCTTTCCTGTTGCTGAGCTCTCTGACCAGGAAGATGAATCTAGCTCTGAAGAGGATTGATAACAGTGACTTCATTTCCAAGTCATGTTGAAATGGCATTAAAGGCTCTCCCTTCCTAAATATGGTGTGCAGATGTGTAATGACATGTAATTTTAAGTTTTTGATGGTATTTTGTACAGTACATAGCTCTGCTCAGCACACTAATGCATAATGATTATTGGTTCTGTGGTAATGATTATTGGCATACTGTGCATTAGAGCTGGCTGTTTTTGCAAGCTACACCTTGGACCTCCAGCAGTACAAGAAACTGATTTGACTCCCCAAAGTTGCTCATTCTGTATGTTGAGGCAGATTGGCAGCTTAGTGTTTTGGAATGTGTATGAAAAGATAATAAACTAAGAGGAAGAAAATATGTCAGACCGTCTATTTCTATTCAAGTGCTTGAAAAGAGTATTGCAGAACAAATATAAACTTCATGCAAGACCCAGGAGAGCTGTGCTTGATCTTCTTGGGAATTCAGCATTCTTCCTAAGATGTGGCAAAGGAATGGGATCAACAAAATCTGTAGGGGGTTTTGTGGTGTTATGCGTCTAACCACTTAAATACTCCTGTAAAACACTTGAAACAATCTTTCACAAACCAGACCCTTTAAATTAACCACTTCCTTCCTAATATCATAGTAGATGCAAGACAAACTGTGAATCTCAGTGCACCGATTTTGATTGTCTTTCTGAATGCTGTTACCTTTGGAGATTGTCTTGGAGGCTAGCAAGGTATGGTGTATCTTGTAATTGACTGTATTCTCAAATTTGCATTTTAGCACCTAGTTCTGACAAGGTATATGAAAAGGCTTACAAAATCAGGGCCCTAGTTTACATGGGGAATCTTCTGATAGGAAATAGTTCATAATCTGATATTTTTCTATTTGTGAACCTCTTTAAAAACATACGTAAGCTGTGATACAGAGGTAAAGATTTATACATTTAACTTTAGCTTAAGGTAATGAGAACTGGAAAAATCAAAATTACTTTTCTAGTTATTTGATATGCTCAAAGTACTGAGCTACTGTGAGTTTTGTTTCTTTACTGGACTATAAATTTTAGACTGAGGAAGCATAATCTACTTTCAGATTCTGAAATATGTTCAGTTTAAACCAATGCTTTATGGTGTAGGTTGTATATGTAGCTAGGCATTCCTTTTTTAAATGTGATGGGAGAGGGGGAGCAGGAAAGACTTGCCAAAATTAAATTTCATTTAAGCAAGCCATGGAATACTTGCAGAATATGGAAATGGACAAAACAATGGAAGATGAAAAGCACTAAGACTTTGGGTGGAATAATTTTAGGAAAAGCATTTCTAATGGTACTCCCGTATGCTGATGGGTGCCAGCCCTGTGAATTTGATACTATCTTTTGCTAGCTGAAACATCTGCCTACACTCCTTTATAGAGAAGTACTTTTGAGTTAAAAGCTATCTTCCCCATCATACAAAGAGTCTGTAAGGAATGCGTGAGCAGAACTTAAATTAGAGCTGGACTTTTACCACTTTGATTCTTCTCTCACTGAAGACAAGCCCAGTAAGATGGTTGTTTAGAGTCAGCTTGTGCAGATATATTATTTAGCTTTATGTTTTTTGTCTGGAATGGTTTTGAATGCCAGAAGTCATAAGGTGCTCAGGCAGGCTTCCTTCAGCAGTTAGGACTGGTTAAATTTCTTTTTTTTTTTTTTTTTAATATGCCTAGGTAGATTTGCCAGCTAGAAATTCCTGATTCCTGCTATGTACAGAGTTAAATATAAAGAACATATGAAGCAGGTAAAATAATATGACCTTCAAATGCTACTTAGGTAAGCAAATTATGGCTTCAATCAGACTCATAATGTCTAAACTATGGGTTTAATTTCTTTAAAATAGACCGGTATGCTAGTGTTTCCCTTCTTTTAAGTAATGTGCATTTGTTGCAATTGCACACAAATTATACTTACATTCAAAATTGTAGTACCCCAGGGGATTCTTGGTTTTAATTCTCAGTAAACTGAGAGACAAATTGAACTGTTCCTTGGCTGTAGAATGTTTTGCTATTTTATGAGATGGTAATTACAATTTAAACAAAAAATTCTGAAGATTTTTTGCAGTGCACTATAATAAGGTTACAATGAAAATTCTACAAGTCTTGTTTTGTGCTTGTGGTAGTGTCTCCAAGGAAAAAAGCAGCCGTTTTGCTGCTTTTTGGGTTTGATTTTTTTTTTTCTAGGTGTAATAGCAAACATCTGGAAAAAAGTATGTTCACAGTGATTCTCTGAATTATTTACACTAAGAATTAAAATCCTGCACTGAGTTTACAATTTATTAATTTATTTTTTTTTAATTTTTTTTTAGCTATTGCTGCCATGGCATTAAGCCAGTGAAAGAAAAAAAAAAAACCATTTAGTTGCCCATAGTATGGAAGGGTGGGATTTTCTTTTTTGGTAAGCATTTTTGTAATAAAATAAATATAAAGTCACTAGGTAGACAAATGCTTCCTGTTTCAGGAAACAGCTTAGGGGCTTGGTATTGAAAGTAGTCTGTGTTCAGTAGTTGCAGATGCTTGACCTGGCAAAGTTTCAGGGTTGCTGGTATCTTTTACATTTAAAGGAATTTTGAATAGTTAAGAGAAGTCCGTATTGACAAAAATGCTTGCTTAAGACAGCCCTTAATATCTGTGTGTAGATAACACCTACACAGAAGATGGATGTTATCTGCAGATCAAATGAGGAAGTGCTGAAGCCATGGGAAATTTTTTTTGTGTGTCTTTGGAAGTAAACATGCATGAGCTAAAAGCTGTCCACAGCATGAAAATTGTTCACTTGCGCCATGAAGTATTTAGTAATTTTGAACAGTATCTCAACATATTTTCTGATTATGTTCTGACAAATTTTGTGAATTAGTAGCATGGTTTACCTTTCCATTTTTCATTTTTCAAAGTAAATGAATACATCCTGGAGGAAGAAAACTGAAATCAGCCTGATCCTCAACCCTGCTGTGCTCTTCAAAGATTCAAATAAATTAATTGATTTAGGTCATAAAACTCCTCTTGCAAACTCATACTTGGAGAAGGCCCCAATTAGTTAGTTTTGTCATCTTTTTGATTTAAGTTCAATTACTACATAGTATTTTTGGTGGTTGTTTACCAACTTTGTTGCAAAACATGAGGTCAACTTCAGCAACAGACCAAAATAATCCTTCTAGTTACAAAGCAAAACTAAAAAACCTTTCAGTAAAACTGTGAAGCATTTTACAGTATCTAACCTAGGGAATTCCTCATCTCCCTCCTCCTGTCTTTACCCTCTTACTGGTAATAAATGATTTTTTGGCCACTACCTGGCCACCAGTGTAACAAAAGCCCATAGCTCTTCAGCTTAATTTGATAGATAACTAGCATGATGTTTTTAAAATCATGTGAATGTCTTAAATAATTTTCCTTTACTACTTCTTTCTCAAAGGTTAAGTAGCCCTGAACATTAAACCCGTCTTACTTGCCCTTTTTAAATTTCTCAGTTTAACTTCTGGGCTGCTGACCTTGGTTTTCCATTTTCTGTGAGGGTGTGTTATAGCAACATTCTTGTTTGATTTGTAGCTTAAGCTTCTCTAATTCCTTTCTGAGGCTGCCTTATCCATCCAGCAAATGTGCCCAGTTTCATAGAGACAAAGTGGGAATAAATGGTGCACTCATGCATGTGATCTTTTCTAGTCACCCAGTCCAGTAATTTTTTTCTCAGATTTTCATATCTCTAACTTTGTAAAGAAGAAAAGCCTGTTTCACAAAGGAATAGATGTCTAGCTTTGCAGGAAGCAGCGTTCTTGGAAAGTTTACGCTATTGTTTTACTTGAAGCCACATTTGTGCTGTGTGTGGTCCATTGCTTTTACAAAAAAATCTAAGAATGCAATTTTTAAAATGCAAAACTGCAATTCAGAATCCTTGTTTGTAACCCAAAATTGGAATTCCTGCAAGACATGTAATAGCAAAGAAACAGAGGGACTTAAGAAAACTACTTATCTATGTCCTTTTTTCCCTTTTTTATTTAAAGGTAAGTTAAAATGTTTATCTTAGAATGAAGTTCTTAAAATGTAGAGGTAGGTGCAATTGAGATGGTTCAGATTGATGACTATGAAACGTTTCTTCAAGCTGTGTTAATGTGGGGCATGATACAGATCTGGGATTCTCGGTTGTTGTTCAATATGTTATTACATACTGAACAAGTGAATGATTAAAGTTTTGATGCAGTTAGAACTTAGGATTTCTCCATTTTGATTTAGTAGATGGTGGGAACAGAAGAGAGACATGGCATTGTACTAGATTATTTTGTAGTGTTGCTCATATAATGGCCACAACTTGCTTTCAGAGACTCTTGTATTCAGGTTTCATGCAGAAAACTCGTATTTTCAAACTCATTATTTTGCCAATTTAGAGTTAAGAAAATATGTAACCATTGTTTGAATTCTTAATTCAGAGTCTGACTTGGACTGAGCCAGGTCTTTTTCAGAAGTGCAAAGAGTAAACATAGGCTGTGGAGCTTCTTGTGCTACAGTTGCCCAAAGACTTGCGTAATAAGTGTAATGTTTAGTCCTGCTACTTTTTTTACGCTTGACTCAAGCACAGGGCATTGACACCAATTTGAGGGTGAATGCTTGCATGGTACATAATATAAAGGAAATAAATGTCTCCAGTCTAAGAACCAAAT